ATAAAATAAATGAATCAATTATTCAAAATAATAAGGTTAAACTATAGAATATTAACTACTAATATGTTAAAAAAATAAAATATTATTAGACAATTTTTCTGAAATATTTCATTATGTGCGCAAAATGCACCAAATATTATGGTTTGAATTTCAAAAAAAAATATATTTATATATATAAATGATAACTATATAGGTACATGATAAAAAATTTCCTAAAAAGGATGCACACCTGGATATGCTGTCTCTGTCTGACAAACAGCATACCAAATTTTATATAAACAATGATCCATATATCTCCGCAATTTTTACAATAAGAGTGAATTGACCTGTTATAAAATTTAACAGTAATATAATTTGTCCCAGGYATCTTGGAAGCTTTTAATGATATTTTAATAAAAACAAGTTACRTCAATTTTTAAGCGACATTTTAAAATGATCATAACTTACTTAGAAATAAAAACGGGAGAGATGTGCTTCATAACTTAATTATTAATTACAATACACAGATAATTTAAAAAATAACATTAACACGAATATTTTTAAAATACTACTAAATGACATAATAGAAGAAAAATATATTAATAAGTCTTACCCTTGTAAACTTAGAGCATGTGTCTTCTGCTTCTTTAATAAGATTTGCACGCAACATGTATTTAGCACATTTAGAATTAATATATCTATCAGCTGTGTCCAAGCCTTGTGCTTCATCCAGCCATTTATATGCCTCATATGCATCACCAGCATGCTAATTAACACAAATTTGATGAATAATTCTACAGTCTTTAGTGCAAAAGATGAAAATATTAAATCAAAAAATGTAATACTTTAAATATTCTTCCTTTGGTGACAAATAGTTCAATTAAAGTTGGTGTGTGTGCAATAGCCATATCAATGTATGTTAATGCCTTTTGTATATCATTAAGGTAATCATAATGTTGAGCCAAATAGTGATAGACCCACAGCAATGCAGAAGCAGGTTCTTTACAGGAAGTATCTAAAATAAACCAACATGCTTAATTTATACAATATATATCAACAAGAATCAATCAATTAAAAATGAACAAGCTTAAATGAGTCATATCAAATTAATATGTATGATAATTTATTTAATCTAGAGATAAGTTGAATTTCAAATTTGCCTCCATGAAATTTGAWAAGTTTATGGACTAACTACTGATGTTTAACTGCTCTGTGAAAAAATGTTTAGCAACATAACTTGACAAAATACATCATAACTTTATATTAATATTTTAAATAAAAATAATACCATACCTTCACTATCAAATGAACTAAACTTTGTCAAATTATTTACATACATCTCCAATAGGCTTTCTATTATTTGTACTTTATGTTTATCCTTATATAGCGACCGTAAATCTACAAATAATGGTGGAACACCTTTATGGAAACCAGCTCTTAAATATGAATCAACTTCACTTTGAAATGCATTTCCTAAATTTAAGGCCAAGAATGATTACTAAAAAGTTTTGAWGGCTAGAACAATGAACATACCTGTTGCAAAAGTTAAACACAATCGTTTAGGAGCCAATGCTTTGGGAAACTTTTTTCGATAACCGCATAACATGTTATAAACACATTCATCATTATGCAATTGCTTAGCTTCTTTAATCATTAAATAGTAAGGT